TTTTTAAATATTTTATTTCCTCTGCAGCTTAAAAAAATTTAGTTAAGTACATATTATTTATTTGGTGTTTTTTCATAGTTTAAATATTTTAACGTATGGTTTTTAACGTAATTTCTTCCTTATAGACTTATAGTACACAGTTATTTGAATTGGAAGTATAATCGATGATATATCGTGATATCAATACCATAATATATCTTGTCATTAATAATTCATTGTTTATCTATATCAATATATTATGTGTCCCAGTCTACGTATCGAAGTATACTAGTTAGTGGTTAATGTCGTGATCTGATTGGATTGACGTGTGCATGTGAATTCGTCCATTAAGACGTCAATACCTACATTGCCTTGTACCTACCCGTATTACTTAACTAACATACTAATACCAAGTTTCTTGCCAGTATGCTTGGGCGCAGCCGAGTGGAAAATATTGTTAGTGAGCGCCCGTGTTACAAATCAATACTCGTCAACGCATCTATGGCAACATTATCGTAGTCCATGTTATCCATTGCCTTCTTTTCATTTTCAAGTCCTTTATATTTTCCTATCCCATTCTGCTGTTAAAACAAACAAATAATTATTACTGAGGGGAAAAAAATGAAAATTAGAATCTGATATAGTTCTTATAACAATATTACCACAATTGTTACTATTCATATTTTGCTAATAATTGTTAAGAACAGAATAATTGATACTGTTTATCAGGCATTAGCTTTTAATTTATAATTAAACTGCCCAATAGATGATAAATTAACTACTATATTACCTAAAATAATTTCAAAATTATAAACTACATATATACCTAATGTATTATTATTTTTTATTAATATAATAATTAATAATATGAACTCTTATATTACTATTGTACTAAATCGTAATTAACAATAATTGTCTTATACGTTATTAAAATTAAAATTTCTAATTGTTTTTAATCAGTATTAAATTTCAATTAGCGTAGTAATAATAGAGTCAAAATTGGTTAGCTATGGTAATATATTAAAATTGCTTTTACCTCCTTGGTGCCTTCCCGTCTTTATAATCATTCATTTATTATTAATATAACTCATCATAGGGAAAGAGCAATTTAATTTTAATTTTGGTTATGATGACTTAATAATTTATTATAAATACATAATTATTTCTTAAATAATAAGAAAAAATCGGCTCACCCAATTACTAGGTATTTACATTAAATTAATCAATATTACATAATTATATTGTAAAATTTAGTAAAAATCTGGGTAAAAATGTACTTTTAACAATTTTTCCATGTATTCATTCACTATAGGTAGTTTAGTATTAGTATACATGATTTTCCTATGGATTATTTATGTATTTACTTATTTTCCTTACCATATTAAGTAAGAATTATGATAAACTTATTAAATACAAATAATTTTTTGAGATCTGTCAAACAAATTACGTACTGAAGGTCAAACATGTTTAAATACAAAATTAAACGTTTAGGTATTATATACTCTTAGGAAACCTTTTTTTTTTGAAAAATATAGTTTGAACACATTAATAACAGATTAAAACCTAATAATAATTATATTAAGCCCCTTCCTGTTATTTATATCCGTATTATGATTTATATTGATATTACATCAGTTTGGTCTACTCTGAAAATGTGTGCATTTATTTTGAATGAAATGTTTGAAAATAAGAATGATCAATTAAAATCTTTGTTAAAGAAATAATTCAAATGTTATCCAGATACATCTAAGATTGCAACTTATACGGTTTAAAAATATATATATATTGCGCAGTGTAACTTGAAATTAAAATATAAATACGTATTACATAAGTATTTAGGTACAGTTTTATAATTAAATACATTTTTTTTTTTTTTTTTTAATTGGATAACCCGCGGCAACATAGGCTATTGGGTAAGGGGAGGGAACTGTGGGGTTTTTAGGTTGGGTAGCTTGGTACGTGTGTGTTGTGTTTTGGCAATTTCTAATGGGGCACCCGTAGGTTTCTGCTATGACTTGCCCTAAGAAAAATGCCGCCCGCGGCCGAGGTATCGAACCAGCGCTCGGCCACTCCGTCCCCCTAAATACATTTAAAATGAATTAAAACTGTAAAACTATCTTACCTATATAATTTCATTGAGTTTCCCACATTATAATTTGTTATTTTATTTGTTATCACTTTTTATTTGTTATCACCCTTAACTATCTGTTAAATATTTGATTTAGGAAAAGTTATACAAATATATAAAACTTTTTTAAAATGTCATTATCTACTATTATCTATTATAATCTAATAGGTACTCTAGTATAAATATGTTCTGTTCATTATTAGAAACTTAATACATAATTTATTTACGCACAAAGTATTTTCATAGAATTAAGTTAGAAATATTTTTTTAATTTTTTTTTTATAGTAGGTACTAGGTATATTATATACTTACTGCTCTAAACCAACACAAAACAATATTTTTAATCATAACTAGATTTTTTATTACAAAAGTCCAAAGTGTGTACAACTGGGAAGGAAAATGTTTTTTGAAGTGAATACTTCTTTTTTCAAAGTTTGGAGGGATAGTTTACATATTAGGTGCCTAAAAAACCCCAAGATCTAATTCGTTTTAAAATGTTTATTAGGTCTCAATTCGTATGCAATCAATTGTATTAGGTAGTTGTAGTAGGTACCTATATTATAATTTTAATTACGATACATTTTATTATAATTGTATGTCTTTGGGTTTTGGTAACATTGTGATGTTTAGCTTTTTTATTTTAGAGCATATATAAGTAAAATGTGGACATAAATTAAATAAAAATCTATTTGTTCTTGGAAATGTTTTGTACGTGATATACGATAGGTATTAAAACACGTTTGCTTTCGTTTAGTTTTAGAAGTCTCAGAAAATTAGTTAAATAGTGAATGAACTCCAGTGCTGCGTAATACAATCACTATGCAAACTAAATATTACGTAATTGATAAATTTTTATAAATTACGTGTGGTTATCTGTTGTCTGTTATTATTGGCCTGTTGAACAGATATGCAGTCAGTGAAAATTTAATTTTAACTTGCAATGAAACCAACCAATTTTTATATTATTTTGTAGTAGGTATATATACAGTTAAAATATGTATACTTACCAATTTATATTTCAAAAATCGTGTTTTACTTATTGGTTATTTACAAATATATATAAATTGTAAGTAGTGACTATAGGGTATTGTTTAAAATTCACAATAGTTAATCGAAAAATGTTTGTGTATTTTGTGCATAGGTACCTATGTTATTTTATATTTTAATTAAATTATCACAAAAAAGTATTCAATATAAAAAGTAAAAACATAATTTGTTTCGTGTTTTGTTACGTGTATTTTAACTACCTATATATTTTGTTGAAGTTCTTTAAGTGTTAAAAATAAATTAAAACTTTATTTTATAAACAAACTGGAATATTTGTTTTATATCTGGGACATTTCTACTATAATACGTATATTATAAAAATGTTGTCATAATTTTCTGTAGGTAGTATGTAAGTATACTCTGGTATACGTATATTACGAGTATATTATTTGTTAAAAATTTTTTTATCTCATTAGTCGTTACTTTACCGCTTATACATAGATTCACTCATATATAGGTACGTAATATTTACACTTTACATTTCGTATTTGTGTTGGTAAGTTAAGTATACTGATTCATTTTTTACCATATGATTGTTACTGATTTCTATTGTATGTACCTACCAACAAAATTGAAATCATTATATTATCTTATCAATAATATTTCGCAAAAATAAGTTTAAAAAAACCTATTAACTACCTCTAGGTACTGTAAACATCTAGGTAAATATGGTGGGTCACTCTGTATATGCGCAAAGAACTATTCCATATCGTGCAAGTTATATTTTATCATTTATGATAGCAATACAACATTTATTTTTGACGACTCACGTTTATCTAACTAATCCCATTTATTAACCTATATAACTGCAGTGATACATACATATAATTGGATCTTATATTGTCTGGTAATTTGCACTATTACTTAATTGCTGAATATTATTTCAATAAGAGGACGTGACACCCGTGGTATATTGTTTTGTCACTGTCTTGGATTTATATTGTTTTATTTATACTAAACTTATATTCAGGTTCGGCATAATATATTCAGTTTTGTTGTTTTTACTAGTAATTGTTTTATATATTATAGTAAATTACATTAGTTAAGTAGCCAGGATTTTTCTTTGGGTTGGTATGCGGGGAGTGGGGCTGATATTGTATTTTCACAGAGTTAGTTAACTAAAGTTTCTCATAAGTTTAGCATATTGATGCCGAGATTTTATTTTAGGTTTCGGTTTCCGTACGGCTATACAAATTTGTATTTGTAGTAACTTTCATAGACCATAGATAATTTTTTTTATTTTATTAGAACTTCGGGGGGGGGGGGGGGGTCCGCCATCACTCAAGAGGGTATCACTGGCTACGCCACTGCCTCTTGTTAACATTACAAATAAAATTATTATCCGTGTTCTTGTGTTTTTTTTTTAAACTTGTATAGTTGTATCGCAATGCGACTAATGCGAGTTAAATTTTAACTGTTTATCATAATTTATAAAATGTAAAATATACTATAATTTAAATTATAATCAAAGATATCTTTCTCGTTAATAAGTTATTTTTTAAAATTGTGTAATTCCTTATTTGTCTCTGGCAATTAATAGGTACTTATACAGTATTTTATTTATTTATGATTTATCATTTTAAAAAATTACCTTTTAAAATTTATAGTTTAATTTATATATTAATTATATTGTTAAATAAAAATCGGTGAATGTTTTGTGTCCACCCCTTTCCTTTTTTGCATTACTTCTAAAGTACTTCGTGTACCTTCACGTATGGTGCTTAATAGTATAATAGACCATTATGCCGACATTTGTTGGTACGCGTGATGTGCTTTCTGGATTAACAGGCCTGGTGGTGAATGCATTTTCAGCATTTGAAAATAAATTATGTGTTTTATTTTTCAGTTGTGGACAAATGGTACATACTTGTTGATGAGCATCACGTTCAAGTTTGATCGAGACTTGACCACACGAAACGTATACTTGTGCACTTACGAGCCGCGAAAACCACCTAATGGACTTACCTCATCGCTGTGGAGCGTGTTCAGTGGTTCCAGCGACGACAGTGATGGTCGATGGGTGAACCAGGGTGATTCGGTAGCAATCAGATCCGACGAAATGTCACAGTCCACGGAAAATTCATTGGATTCGTCGCCAAGCAGGTGAGAAACTTTGACATATCGAGAGAACATACTGTATTTAAAATTTCAATTAGTGCAGCTATACTTATGGTTTAATTTTTCGTTTTGATTGGTTAGTATATGCTTGAACGAGTTTTTCGTTTAGTTTTTAGTAATTATAACGTATCACTTTCAACTGCAGTTAATATCATGCTGTTTGGATTCTCGATAAACAGTATTTTTTCAATTCACAATTTATACAAGATGTTTAACCAAATGATGATTTAATATACATTTTTACTGTGAGAAATTTCAAGTACTTTCTAAAAATATATTCTAATTCAAATAATGTACATGACGCTCGATCATTTTCAGTTTCAGAGTTCTAAATTTAAGCTTTAAAAAAAAAAATTCTCCTTTATGCAACATATCTAAATAATAAATATACAGTTGGGTATCTGGAAAATACTTAACAAAGTTCAAAGTTCAAACCTTATTATTTTGAACTTATTAATCTATGTTTTCCTTTTAAATATTAATATAACTAAATTTTGTATTTATTATTCATATCAGTTTTCTGAAATTATTGTCATATTGTATCATATTATGATCATGTTTATTAACATAGGTAATACATTTGATTCATGGTTATTTTAATCTAGTTATAAATTTCAACATCTACTTTTGATTAATATATTACTTCAATTATATTCGTTTTGTGAAACAATGATTTAACATTTTTAATTTTTAATTTAAATGTAATTAGTCTCTAAATATAAAAACTTATTGAGCTTTTAGTATTATCGTTTTGATTTGTATAATTATTAGTACTTAAAACCGCCCACAGTTAATCTCAAATCCATGGCGAGGATCAACATTTTTTAAGTAGGCGTGTTTTTTTTATATAATGCCCCCATAGTCTGTCAGATTGTTTAGAATCGTGACATAATTACATGCCCATCAAATGCTCTTATCAAAAATATTAAAAACCTTATGCATACTAACATTAACAATATTTGAAACTATTATTTAAAAGTTACTTCGTGTTTCGCGTATTTTGATTAATTGTCATCAGTTAACTCCTTTCTATATTATGTACAGCATTTTACAGTATGCCTACACTTAAACCACGGCTATTAATAACAATAATAGTTAAAATTATACATAATTACATGCGTACCTAACTTTCAAAAATGCCTTTCGTGTGCTACTTTTATGTGACTGAGTTCAAATGTTTAACGTCTAAAAAACATTTTTGAACTCCAAATGACGATTAGAAATAAATAAGTAGAAAACTGTTATTGTTTAACTTTGCTTTTCGAAAATGTTATTGTGTTTGTGACTTGTTTAGAACACTATAAATACAGTGATATTATTAGTATACTTTAAACATAGGTACTTAGGTACATATAGATTATAATTACTACTTCTTTAACTGTCTTAATATTTGTTGATTATATACTTATCCTGATCTTGAATATCTACTCATAAATTACTATTCATATTTAATTTAAACGAATTATTAGTATTGGTATCTATTAACACAATGCCATCAATATAAAATCATTTAATACCTAACTATTAGTAAGAGTTTATATAAATGACTTGTTTGGCAAATAAATTTGAAGGAATAACATTTTGTTTGATAAAAAAACAGGCTATTAATAAATTTGAATTCAATGATTGCATCCACCGTCAACTTAGCTTCATAAATATTTAGCATAAATGGCATATTAATTGTCTCATCAGTTTCAATTATCATCGTTGAACCATTGTGAGTGTTTTATTTAGCAATTGGTTTGTCATCGATCTTTTTACACTCAACCACATTTAAATCAGGATCCTGGAGATCTTTTTATTTTTTTTACGGTTATTTATAAATACCAAGGACTGTAGCAGTTGAGCCAGTGTTCTTTTCAATTTTTACTAAAAACACCAGCACGTTTTAATATATAGAGTTGTATAGTTAACACATTATACAATTGATTGTTTGAAGTTTGAACTATTACCAGACATTAACTCTCAATCTGCAGATTTTTTGTTATATTTTAAATTTAAAGCGAGTTATGGGTAATTTAAGATGTATAAACAATTTACAATTTTAAAATACTCATAACTTGTTCTAAAAATTAAAATATAATACAAATCCTGTGAAATGTTCAAGATAATAATCTTACCTTTAAATTGTATACGAGATTAATTCACTCTAATTTGTAAACTAATGAAGCTCTAAACGTGATCCGCTAAACGTACTATTTGTTATGTTACGCACTTGTAAGACGGAGACAACAAATGTCTATAAGTAACGCCCTTTTAATATGATCTGCTTGATTTTTTTTGTTTTAATTTTCTATATAATATAGTTCATTAAGAGGATGTCAGCGCACTATTTGTTTTCTCTTTTTGATAATATAGCAAATTTGTGTTAGTAGAACCAACCTTATGTTGTCCCTATATTAGAATAAATTGTCCTACTATTAAACTTTAAGTTAAGAAAAATACCTGTGTTTATTCATGAGTTTTTTACGATTTTTCAATTTATATACAAGTTATGAGTATGTAAAGTATTACAATTTAAAAATATTCATATATCACAGAAAAATTTAAATACCCTAAAAATATCCATTGTAAAAACACATATAATTATCTTAGCTTTAATTTTGAGAGTAAGTCAATTCGCACTACTAAAGGTAACTAAAGGTAACAACAAACAACTCAAGGTTGGCTTTATTGAACGCAAAATTGCTATGCTGTGGTGCGTGGATCAGAGATAGAAAACAAATAGTGAGCTGTATAATCTTATGAGAACGTCATACCCAATATACTAATTTATAACGTACTTAGTACATTTTATGTTTAGAATCTATTTTATTCTGTTGTTTTTAATGTTACAGTGAATTAACTTTTAGTCAAATTGAATGGTAAGAACATTATTTGTTACCCCATTTGTATTATTATATTTTAATAATAGAGATAGTTATGAGCATTTTCAAATTGTAAATTTGTATAACGTCCCCGTTAAGATGACAACAGTCAACATGAATTTGAAATCGTGGGTCGATGTATCTATTACACAAATTATATATGAATTTATTAGTTGTATTATGATACATTTTCAAAGTAACGATATCAATCTAGTGATGCATTGATGCGTTTAAGACGCTGAAATCAGATTTAAATCCCTCGTTAAGTTTGTTTTCCAAAATGTATAAATATATTTAATATACTTATATTTTATGTAGGTATAACAATAATACATTGTTATGGTGTACGTATAGGTTTTTGTTTGAAATGTATTTCAACTGAATGTTGCTGATTATATAATTGGTAATTTTTTCTTGCAGACGGAGAAGACAACAAGGGACAGGGACATTAAAAAATGTTACCCCATTAGGTACAGCTTACATATCTCCAGTAAACTTTTATGGCTTACGGGTGGAGTACTCTGATGCAGCTGTAGACTATGATGATCTAGGAGTACCACAGTTACTGGTTCAACGAAATGCGTCGTTTCGTTTGTTTGGTAGTGACTGGACTGAAAAAACAATATTTGTTCTAACGGAAAAAATTGGTGAAAAAGGTGGTCCGTGTGAGTTTCCCGTTGGAGAAATTCAAGGAGTACGTATCATATTTATTTATGAAATTCAATTTTTTTACTTAGTATATAGTATATAAGACATTCTAAATAATTTTGTTTTTCTATTCGGATAATGGATAGAAAAAGTGTACATATGTAATGTGGAATTTTATGTAGACACATAATATTACACATGTTTTTATTACGAATATCGGTTTTTATGTCCTTGTGTGATTGTCAGAAAATACTTCAATCACTTTTAATATCAAACGTTTATTCTTTACTGTATTATTTAAATAAAAAATACAATTTCGATTATATATATTTCAGTTTAGTTTAGTATTTATGATTGTATTTAAATAAATTAAAAAATCATTAAAATTAAAAAATAATATATTTGTAGTTATTTTTTTCTATACCGATAAGTAATAAATATATAGGTATATTATTCCAATCAAATATGTAATTTCAGGATTAAAACTTAAAATTGTATTCCACTAGGTCTACTTCTTAATTAATTCGTATGCACTTAAAACATATATATTTTATAAACTGAATTGTGTACGCAATCGTTTTTCAAATACCATAATAATAGTTGCTGAATTATGGTTCTATAACCTGATTTTTTAAAACTTTTTTCAATAAAATCATAATTAATTTTTTCTAATGGAATTTTCAGGTAACTATTTTACAGAACGAACCAAACACAGCCCTAATAAATATCATCTTGCCACAAGCTAGTAAAGCAGGTACGATATTCTACTTCTGTTCGAAAGAGAGCGATAAGACCGGTGCGATTTGGACACATATGGGTAGTGAATATTACAAAAAAGTTGGAGTATACGAAAAAATGCTACCTTTCTGGCTACAGGTTGCTATAATTCTCACTTGTCTGTCATTTTCGTCCCTTTTCTCCGGTCTAAACTTGGGTTTGATGTCGTTGAACCGAATGGACCTGAAGATCATTTGCAACACGGGTACAGAGGCTGAGCGAAAGTACGCCAAAGCTATCTTGCCTGTGCGTATTCATGGTAACTACTTGCTATGTAGTATTCTATTGGGAAACGTCATGGTCAATTCGATATTTACCATTCTGTTGGACGACTTGACGTCCGGCTTGGTGGCAGTCATTACTTCTACACTGGCCATTGTCATCTTCGGTGAAATCACACCACAAGCTGTTTGTTCACGTCACGGATTGTGCATCGGTGCAAAAACCATTTACGTCACGAAAACCGTAATGGTGCTTACTACCCCGCTGTCTTGGCCCATCAGTAAGGCTTTAGACTGGGCGCTCGGCGAGGAAATTGGTAGCACATACAACAGGGAACGCCTCAAAGAATTAGTCAAGGTTAGTGGTACTAATTTTCGGTTATATTTACGTTTAAACTTTAAATTGAGTATACTATGGTTTTAAATCCCGGTTTTATAAAAACTTTGGCACACAACATAACTTTACTTGCATAGGTATATGAGATAAAAGTAACTTGCGTGGTCTTCTTATTCTTCTTAGTTTATGAGTATATATAGGTATTTACAGACCAATAAAAAATTTAACTGACTTTTTTTATTAGTTTTTAATTAATTAATTAAAATTGTTTAATCGCATTACAAAAACATACATACATAGAATAGGTGATTTTAGTTGTTCATGTTCTAGAAAAATAGTTATAATTAAGTTAGACTTCATTATTTAAATTTTGTTTTATTTCATTTGTAAAACTAAACAATGAAATCAATTGACCTCAAGAACTATATCTGCCTCATTCAGTTAAAATGTAATTATTATTTAATTAATAGCCGTTTATTATACAGTTTATGTACCTAAGTACTCAATAAAAAAGGTAAACATAAATTATGCGTTATAATCATTTTATTATTCAAAAACGGATATTAAATAAAAACTATAAGTATTCCGATAAAGAACATATCAGTTTATTTTATTCTTTCAATAGCTGTTAATTTAATTCAATAACTTATACCTACCTATTATACATGACTTTAAGTAAATTTGAACGAAATTGGTTTACCATGATTAGGCTGTGCTTAGCTATAAGGTTAATATGTAAGTAGTAATACGTTAATATGATGTACGACGTACGTATCTTCAATATAAAATATAGTGTGTAATTACAACATGCAACAACAATTCGACTTGGTATCATACTTTGATCCTATTTCCATTAGAAAATTAACATAATATATTAAGTCATTTTTGTTGAAATAAGGTCTAAGGCATATATTTTTTAATTATTTATAAATATTAACGACTGATATTTTTTTAATCATCAACAATCGTTTAGTCGTATTTTTATTTTAAAATGAACAAATTTAGTTTAAAAAAATATCTTAGAAAACGCATATGCAAGATTTTAATTGTTAAATATTTGAAACATGCATGCTAATAACACCTACTATTAATTTAATTGTATGGCAAACAAAATGTATTGTGGTGTATACACACATTAACAAAAAATATACACGAACTGAAAATTCATAATAGTTACATGACATTTTGTATGGTTTTCAGTTTTATTAATTAATTTAACAAACGGATTTATAAAAATAAAGTGTTGATAAGAAAAAATTAATTCATGGAATATTACCTACTTAAAACAAAAAAATAATTAATAATGCATGAATAATTACAAGTACAAATACAACTACTTATATAGTATAGGTACTTTCAATCGTCATAATGAAATATATCGTGTAGTGGGTTTTTTTTAAAATTTGAATTCAATGGTTAAATAATAATTGTATATAAAAACTTCCGAGTGAAGACTATCTAACCAATATTATACGAGTATATTTTATAATATTATTGCTATTAAAGTTATTTATTTAATTATTAGACATGAACGGATTACAGTATAGCTATAGGTTAGAAAAAATTGCATTTGGAAATGTTACTGTGTGTATAAAATATAATAATATACTTTAAAATTTCAAGTACCCACGGAAAATATTTTTACATCGCAGCAAAATAACTAAAACTGTTATTCTTCGTTTAAATATTTAATTTCGTCCAAATTTGAATGAAAACTTTTGGTTATAGTATGAACTACTTATGAAGAAGCTTATATTACAATTCCAAGCTTTTGAACATTTTTTGTCCTAACTATTTAAAAATAAAAAAATAAAAAATATTGTACATTTCTTATGCCTTTAAAATGGAAGAGTAAACATTTCAAACATCTACTGTTATTCGTTTGTGAATTAGGCTAAAAAAAACCAAATCAATTTCGTCGAAAATCGGGTTTGCGTGAAAATTCCCGATTTTTTATTATTTTCACGACGCTTTTGTAGACTACTGGGAATTTTCAATTTTGACCTTAAGTACCAAATAAATTCACTTTCTTACCAGAAAAAATACTGAAGTTAAAAATCAAAGCAGCATTATTCTGTTTACTTATTGTGTAGCTACACGCAGACACCCTAAAAAAAAAAAACATTGTATAATCAATACATTCATCTGTTTAGAATCTAAAATAGATGAACTCACAACTTCGGTGTATGGTAAGTTTTTAATGAAATTCGTCATCTAGTAGGTTACTGTAATGACTGTATTACAATATTACATATTTTGTATTCTGTGATAAATCATTATAGGTATATAATTATTATGAAAAAATGATTCTGTAGTGTTTGAAATGGGTTGGGCAGATCAGCATCTAAAGCTAAGGATTATTCAAAAAGGTATTATTGACATTTTCAAATGATATTTTTTTGGCCTATTTTAGTATAAATACTTAACATTAGGTAATATAAATTACTTTAATCAGTAAGTTTGATCCCAATAATACCATAACATACATTTTGTAATATATACGCTGACAAACTGTCTTCGTTCATAATCATTTTTCGTTACAATGCTTCTATATCATCGAATTCAAATTTAACACACATCCTGCATTACAATGGCTCTTCAAAACAACTACTGTGAGGCGAAGCGTATTATATGTACTACACTTTCCCACCTTTTTAAAAATTTTGTTTCTAGAGCATTTTTATATCAGAAAAAATATTTCAATATCGAGAGTTGTTTCTGCCACTGAATCGGATCTTTTGGTCAAATGAGTCAAATTTGAAAATTCCCGGTTCTTACTTACTTTTGAAAATAATCGAAAAAAAAATTATTATTATATTAAAAACCGAGAATATTTACGTAACTTAAGGTTTTGACAAAAACGTTTTAATTTTTTTTTGTTATTTAAAAATGAAATTAAACTAGATAATTAATATTTATACAAGCATTTCCTATTCATAGGTATATTGGGTTTATTGTAGCTAATTATAGACATTTAAAATATTAAAATGTCTAAGTTCTATCAACTATTGTTGATGAAGAAAAAAATATATGTTATTCAAAAAACTTCAAAAATGTAATACAAACAAGTTAGTTTAATTTTTAGAACTCGATAATTATTATTTTTGTTTATAAACTTAATGTATAGATGTATACTGTACCTACTACAATTCCCACTCAAAAATCACTTACCTTTTGCACACGCATGTAGTATACCTATATCTACCTATTATTATATTAATTGTTGTACTTATAAAGTTCGTATGTTCTATTGTTTTAAAACATTATGATAAATACAAAGAAACCTTTGTTATAAGAGTGTTATTTAATTTACATATAATATAAAATATGTGTAAAATAATTTTCAAACATTCAATATTATTTCATATTAGTAATATTATATTAATAAGGTATAATTCTTATTATACCTTATTCATAAACCATGCTGTAAACTATATGATACACAGTATTTTTTTGTAATAAACAGTCTTCTTTGTATCAATATTAAAAATGCACTTAATTAGGATTTTATTAATAATTTTGAGAGTAAATTTACGATGGAAATTGAAGTAGTCTGATTTATTTCATTTTTTTGAAATAACATGGTAAGTACTTATTCGCTGTATTTAGCCATCCATAACTGTGTGGTAATTTAAACAACCACGACTTGCTACGTCGTGGTAGTGATAATATATAATATATATGAAATAAATAACCTATTTTTACTGTGTGTTATTTTTTAACAGAAAATAATTTCAATGTTGAATATATAAGACCAGTTTATTGATTCCCCTTTGAGTTTGGTAACTATGATCGTTTGTTTGATTTGTTTATTTGGTGAAGGTCTGTGGGTGCAAACAGTTATTTAGTTTTGATTTAACATACTAAAGAAAAAATTCTATTAAACAATTTTATATTTGATGAAGGTATACCTAAGCCAGGGCTTGCAAACGTACTAATAACATTATATTTGACAAAAAAACGATTACAATTTCTAAACTTAATTATAACGGAAAGCGATAATGTCGATAATCAAAAATAACTAAACACCGCAAAACAAAATACAATGATTAGCAAACAATATTATATATTATTCATTAAACAAAACATAATTTATAGAACAATATTATTAAACGAAAAATATCGCAAAACTTAATTTATAGAATTTCATTGAACAAAAAATAACGCAAAACGAAATGATTTAAAGTCCATTTATTTAAAAGTTATATTAGTTTCGTAGAAATATTTATTTCATGTATATGGACATTATAATTGATTATCTTCCGTATCCGCATTAGTTATTATTGATACATTTAATAGTTATTAACACTATTCTGAATAACGATAAACGCAAAACTTGTATAACGTTTAATTTGAATAACGATAACCCAAACTTGTTAACGTTTACTACTAAACAACGATAAACGCAAACACTGTGTTACGAATTTTTTTTTCAAATGCAAGCCCTGTGCCTATGACCCGAAAATACTTGTCATACTTTAACAACAATTTGTTGGCTGTATACCTAATAATTAGCATGACCTAAAGGACAGGTTCTCAAACTTATTTAATCCACCTCCCACTTTCAAGATCATTAATTTTCTAAATCCCCTCCAAATTATTTTAATCTTATCATCTGTAGTGCATCCTAAAAACAGTACCTAGTTATTGTAATTTTTATATTTAAATACGCCGTACCTATATCTTATATCTGTGTTCAAACTTCCATGTTTAATGGAACAGAACAATACAAATATAATTAAAACTCATACTTTATCATATTATTTAAAATGAGTATTATTAAAATTAAATTAAAACGTATCTAATGTAAAGGATGGACCTGATGCTCTTTAACAAAATTGTTAATATCAGACTTGGATTTACTTAAAAACAGAAGTAAGTAGAATTATGTGGACATGTAGTAGGTATTTAATTTAAATTTTACGTATAAAAAGAACATATTTTTTATTTATTATTATCGCCCTTTTAGTCCTCGTCAACTCCCCTAAAATTTCTTCGGGTCTTATACCACCCCCCCTACCACTGGATGCTGCCAACACTATCCCACTTTGAGAAAGATGGGCCTAAAGCAAACTTTAAAAGGCCTT